TTTCAAATATTGATTTTGACAGTGATATTGAAGAGGGAATTGGAACTGAAGCTGAAATCTCTGAGCATTTAAGTGGAAGTTCTGAAAACCTCCCTAGCCTTCACCAGGATGTTTTTGAACCTACTGAGAACACTGTTCATTCAGAATATTCTGAAAACTTTGAAAAATCTGTTTCTGCAGTAGTATCTGGGACAACAAACAGGAGGTCTCCATCTGAAACACTGATGGAACACTCTAATAGCTCTGTACATTCCAGAGAAACTCTCTCTCTTTCACTGTCTTCATCTCTGTCTAATAAGAAATGGCACGGCACAGTAAACAGAGTAACGGTGAAAGAAACTGCAGTTCAGACAGCTGATTTTCCATTCACCTACTGCTGGTCAAAGAGTAAGTTCTCATTCATTTCTGTGTAATATAGAAATCTAACTTCTGTCCTTTCAGTTCAGTTACTGTGCTCTCTAACTGATCCAAAGGATCCTCTTTAATCTATCAGACTATGCAATTAGCCACATGTACAAAAGATACTATGGGCGTTAGTTCCAGACAAAACAGCCCATAAACTCCAACTGTTGTTACTATGAGAAACTGAGAAGGAGGTTAGACAAACCTCCTCTGAGAAGCTGACCTTCATGGCAGAGCCTGGCTCACAACAGGCCTCCTGGCATTCTCAGACATGACTTTTAACAACTGAAATACAAAACAAAGTTACTGAAGTGACCTGCCACCTTTTAACACCCTTTTTCAGTGTCCACTATACCTATAGTTATTGGCTTCCTGTAAAATAGAGATTCTGCTGATACAGCAAACGTTATGGTGATCCCATCACCTCAAGTGAGAGAGCAGCCTCAGGGGATACCAGCATGTTTCAGAATCAGTCTTGTGGGCAGAGTCTTGCTTCATGTCCTGAACAAATTCTAGGGAGAATTACTTTTAGAGAGAGTGAATAGCGCATGATTTTAGCATTCAGAAGTGTTTTTGATATGAAACCCTTTTTGTCACATTTCTGTCCTCTACATAGTGGATGGCACAGCAATCCTTGGGCCAACTGCTGGACACAGCTATCTGGATCCAATACCTGTTGCCAGTCATGTTGTCAGCATGGATATGGTAGAAGGTACTGTAAAACACAAATTTACTCAGTTCTGTTAAAACCAAGCTATGAAGTTGAATGCTGTAATATCCTTACACAAGCTGTTCAGCATTTACTTTTTAGAATAAAATATTGTCCTTTCTTTCATTTGCAGCCCTGACGGCATACAGTCCTGCTGTGTTTGTTTTAAATGACACGTTAAAACAGCACTTAATGCTGACACAGCAGTTTGTAGAAACCTTCCACCATCTTCATTTATCCCTTGTGGAGTCACTGGAGCATGAGAACTTTCACTATCACACACTGGAAGAAGCTAAGGAGGTAACTGCAGTAGACTATAAATGGACTGATTTAAAGCAAAAATGTATTTCCTAAACTGGATCTAGACAAAACATGTTATACAAGAGTGATTCTTGTTCCCTTGCAAATATTACCAGCTATTCTATTTTAGATTAAACTCAGAGTACACAGTACATAGCAGAGGTAGAAAACGTCAAGTTTGTAGGAGTAGAAATACACAGGTAAACTGCATGCAGAAAGCTTAAGTTAATGTAAGTGATATATAGCTATTCAGCAAATTACAAACTGTTTCCTTCACTGTTCCCCACAGTTTGGGGGAGAAATCATTTCCTTCAGTGGATTCAAGGCACTGTACTAATCATTAAAGTGGATAGATGTCACCTAGTGGATCCTATGCCTCTTAAGTTATAGAAGATGAGGCTCTTGCACACAGTTTACATACACAATATAGCCAAAAAATCATTACGACTGTGACATAAAACTTAGGTTAGAAATACCAAAATTAAACTCTGTGCACAAGTGAATTTCCTCATTCTCCCCACCCTTCCCGTCCCTGGACCATTCAGCACACGAGAGAGAGAGCAATTCATTGAATAGTCCTGATAGAGCTGGGGGGGACATGAAAAATGCTCAGTGCGTACCGGTTCTCTCCAGACTGTGCCTGTGAAACTCACAAGCCTAGTGTACATTGACAGATTATTTTTCAACACTTAACTTTGCTGATTTGGGAAAAGTTCCACACAGACAATAAAGGGTATGTCTGTAAAACCACAGCCCACCCATTGCTAAATTTCAAAATCTTGCTAATGCAAAAAGTTGTCCAATTCAAAATATTAACAAGATGCATTTTACCCCAGCCTTGTTATTTGAAACCACTGAATCACTTTAGCTGGACTTTCTCATTGACCCATGAGCCTGGGGTAGACATTTATCAGTGTGAACAACTGAAGTTTGCAAGATGTAAGCAAATAAGAGTAAGGACTTCGATGAAAAGCATTTGGGCAACCTTAATTATAGAGGTGCTACACAATGTGCCTGTAATAACACTAGTTCCAAAGGCAGTGGTTCTCAACCTTTTTAGACTTATGACCCTCTGCCATAACTTTCATGGATTGAGCAGCACTCCGTGTATTACAGTGCTTACCTCCTTGCAGGAGGCAGTGAGAGCAAGGGAGCAGCTGGGCATAGAGAACCTGAGCCTGCACTTATCTGCTTATCTCCTCACACCTTGAGGTACCCTTCAAAGACACACTAGGACGCTCCAGCACCCTGGCTGAGAAGCACTGCTTTAGGGAATCCAGTTAGGATAAAAGTTGCCATTGTGCTGGGTGCCATATAAAGATACATAGAAGGTCTTTGGGATAACAACGGTAAGAATGGTATGTTCCCTGTGCATGGGCCAGATGTCTCTTACACCCCAATGCAAGAGCTGCAAAGGAAACCACAGTTTCTGATGCAAGACTGAATGTACAGAAAGGCTGCAAAGCAACTGTCTCGTCTTCAGCACTAAATGGTGTTTGAGTATTAACCAATCTCTTGTTTCTTTGCAGTACATCAAGAGCCACAAATCTCCACCTCTGACAACTGAACAAGCATTAGAAGAAGTTAAGAAAGTACAAGAACAGTAACTGCTTTGACGGACTTTTCCTAAGTGAATTTTAACCAATGTTTTTAGTCACGAGTAGAATTGCCAGTTACAAGTCTCAAACTGAAGCAAGACTTTTATGCAACGTGTAGAAAAGGACAATACCAGTGAGCTGTTTTGTACACAGTGGGTGCATCTACATGTGTGCTTTACTGCAGAGTAGACTAATTTGCTGCGCAGTTAAATGTCACCATCTACATGTGCAGCAGTGCTAGGCCACAGTAAACTAATCAACTCCGCCATAAGATAGTACTGTTATTTACTGCAGTTAAACACGCGTGTAGATACTGACTGCAGGTCAGGACCCAGTCAGCCCAGCCAGCCAGGGGCCAGACTCTTGCCTGCTGTCTAGACACATGGCTCTGCAATTCAGCACTGTTGTGCCCCAGCAAACCCCTCTGCTGCCACTCGTAGCCCAGGCCTGACCCCCATGCCTCCTGCCAGCCCAGGCCTGCTCTGCCCTGGCTCAAATTGCTGTTGTCCCAGGTGCGCATGTAGACACCATGCCCAGGAATAGTTTACTCCAACTCAACCTGCTCCAGAGTTTATTGCTTCGCAACAAATTGAACATATAGACACACCAAGTGAGAATTCACCCCAGCTGCAATTTCTCTTTAGATACAGAGGTTACATTCTGTCCCTGGAGACTACCGATACAATAGACATAAATTACTTTGGTTTTTACTACTAAAAAATTCAGTGTAAATTAGCCTTATGTTAAAGAAAACAGTTAAAACCTAATGAGCAAACACACAGGTGAGTGTTAAGGGGTATTAACAGCCTTTGTGTTACAAGTCACAGTATAACCCATGTTTAATAACCCAAACCAATGGTATTGAGTGTGAGAAAAGCAGAAGTACTCCTTAAATTAGGAACACAGGACTGGAAAGGACTTCCTGGGCTGCCAAATCCAGTTCCCTAATTAGAACAAAGTGGGTGCATCCACATGTGCAACTGATATGATGCAACAAACTCCCAAGCTGTTTGAGCTGGAGGAAACCGCTACTGGGCACAGCATCTACAGGCTCACCCAGGACAACAGCAATTTGAGCCAGGGTGGAGCAGGCCCCCAGCTAGCTGGGCTGACCGGGTGCAATTTAGGCCTGAGGTCAGTGTCCACACACATGTTTCAGTGCAGTAAATTACTCTGCCGTATTATCTTACACTGGAGTTAAATTTACTGCACACTAATACCAGTGCCCATGTAGATGGTAACACTCTACCACGGAGCTAATTAGTCTGCTGTGCAGTAAAGCGCACGTGTAGATGCACTTAAACTGTACTCATACAATTTGGCCTCTAAAATTATTTGTTAAATCAATCCTTTTTATAAAACACTTGCTCCAAAGGTCAAAGCAACTCCTAGGCAACTGGAAAATACCTTGTATATAGGATAAAAGGCAACCCATTTACTTTGAAAAATGAGCTAAAGCTAATTTGCTTTTTTTTTTGGTTGTTGTTTTTTTTTTTTTTTTTAATAAAAAGTGTTTATTGGAGGGCAAAACAGTAAAATTCACAAGTTGGTAACATACAGATGTCTTAGGCTGATTCACAGACAGTTACAGTTCCACAGCTACAGTAAATCTAGAAGAGACAGATATTTCACCATATTGGACTGAATGGTTTAAGAGGGTTTCTGCTGTATAAACAAATGACTTTGGAAAGAGGTTGCCACCAAGCAGGCCTCTTGAGTAGATGTGCAGTGTAATGATCTAACATCTTAAGCTGGTGGTGTCTGGAAACAATTCAGTTACAAAAGCATTTTAAAGGAGGTTTCCAGGAATGCTTCACACTTAGAAATTTGTGAAATGGGGGAAAAACAGGTTCTCTTCTATTGAACTAATTTTAGCTTTTATTCAAGGGTATATACAAAAATATAAAAAGCTTAAAGAATGTCTTTCATTACAAAGCATCAAACATCCCTTAGAGCACTTGGATGGCTAAAACAGTTAACCCTTTATGTTCCGAGTAGAGTTGTGACTGCAGCAGCTGGTGTGTAGGGGCTCTAAGTTGTATAGTAGATTCTAATAAGCTCATACAGTGCTCATAGGTCACCTGTACTGGAACAAGGTGCTTGTCTCCCCATTTAGACATTAGGATACACTGCTCAGCATCAGTCTGACTTGTTCCCAAGGCAGCACCCCTCCACTTCAAATAGAATTAACCTTTGAGAGAAATAAACATACATTATGGAACTAGAGACATGGAACCATATCAGATAATGTCTGTATTCCACAGGAATGAGTGGATCACAATCCTGGACCAGAGATAGCTTAGCAGGGATTTAGTTCTAGTATAAAATGGGTAACTTTTTTGCTTTAAAACTGCAAAATAAATGGGCATTTCTGAACTTGCTAGACATGTCATGGTGATCACTGGCCTTTTTAAAATACTAAACAAAGTGGAGTACATGTCATAGCTTTCCTTTTTAAAAAATAATTATCTTAATGTCACTTCCTCCAGACATTAATCCTGATTTATACAAGTTTAATGATTTGTAGAAGATGCAAGACATCTTTCTCCAGGTATTTCAGGGAGTCTTATTCAGGTGGTGGAGGATCTTGGGTGTCACGCTTCACTGCAACAACAGGGAAAAAATTCTTATACATTCTGCAATTAGTCTTGGTTGGCTGAGGAAAATGCATCTTGAGAGGAGGGCTCCATTTAAAAACGGTTGTTTTCCCCACTTTGTGTGGTGCTTGCATGGATTTCGTTACATAGATACCCTCCAAGCTATGGAGAGAAATTATTTCTCATTTTGCATGCCCAATTTCTTGCATATCCTCACTGACTGCTATTTAGATGTATTTATCGTGAGTCTTTGTCCCACTCCCATTCACAAAATGAAGTTTCCATCCTACACAAAACATCTATTACAGATACCTGGCTTGTTTGCAAGGTTTTCCTGAGCCTTTACTAGAGATGCGTGCTATGCCTACCTTTTCCTGGTTCCCAGTCTGAGAAAGGGATCAAAATACGACAACCATCTCAAACAGGGCCAGACAATAACCCTGGCCTGTCTGTCACCAGCCATAACAACCATCCTTCCCTTGCTGCCTTGATAGACGCTACTCGCTGCCCCCTAAGTTACTGCTGTATTTTAACCTTCAGAAAATCAGGTTAAATCAAACTATCTGGCAACTACTATCATACACAAGAGCTGGCTTGAACAGAGATGGGATAGATTTGGAATGGAAGGAAGACAGTCACAAAAATTTCTAAAGTGCAGACAGCCCAATTTAGCTTAGTTTAGAAAATTCATAGATATCTCCTACAATAGTCACCATGGTTTAATGCAAGTTGCATATACTGAGAAAAGTTCTTAGCTAGGAATGTGCTGGAGACACTCAGAGAACATCATTTACTTACCTATCATAGTTAAAAAAGATTAATACCTACCATTAAAAATTGGTTTATTATTAGTTATTAACCTTTCAATTTGCTACACAAACTGTATTAGGATTGACAGTGTAAGGAAACCTTTGCCAAGCGTGCTAACATAGCCATCATGATAACAATAAAGAATAACCAAGACCTTTCCACATTTTTCAAGAAGTTCACTTACATTCATCTCTGGCCTTCATGCGTGCAATAAACGAGTAGCTTTTATTTCTTCTGTAGTTCTCATATGGGTCATCTAGGGCAACTCCCACACCCTTATATTGATCCCATTTGTCTCTGATATCCCCTCCTTTAATTGGGTCCTGGATTCCTTGCTCCTTAGCTCCCAGTCCTCCAGATCCACTCCATCCTATTAGAGGAAAGAAAGAAAAGAAAGAGCACACCATGGATCAGCACCTTAAGGATTTTAACAAATACCTCATTGAACTGTACAGAAAGGCATTTTGGAAACAAAAAAATAAACTGATATAGCCCAAGTCTGTAGATAGTTTGGAACAATAATTCAGATGCACTAACTGTCCCAGTAGCCTCGAGTGTGTTAACTTCAAGATCTGCTACATGGGGAATAAACCAGAGCCCTAAAGAAAACACAGAGCACCAGAAGAGTGCAACAGGTTCCATCTTCCCACTTAACAATGTAGTGGCACTTTATCAGTTACAGTCAACACCTGGGACAGGTGAGTCCACACCACCTGCTGCTAATTCCATGCCACAACCCTGGGTTCTCTAAAAAGGAAGAAGAAAGTCTACACCATCCATGTACCTGAGAATCTGCCCCCGAGTTTACAAATTACAAAGTAGACAAGATTACACCTAAAAGGGCAGAGCTATACAAATGGAAATACGGACTTTGCGGGCAAAAAGGGGACTGCAAGATTTGACAGTGTAATATGCAGTTTTCATCCTTGCTGTACGTGCACAATAGCAGCACTTCTCTACCCGTAGGGCTACAGGGAGGATAAATATATCAAATCTTGTGAGGCGCTCACACATTACAAGTAGGTTTTAAAGTACTTAAATAGCTGTAATAAAAGTGATAATTACACTGTTTTTGACAAAAGCTATTAAAAAAAAGCAACTTATGATAGAAGTCCTCAGGCAACCTGCACAGTTTTCAGCTTTTTTTCAGCCACAAATAAGGTAGATAATCGACATAGTTAACCTCCTCTGCTCGCGCTTGTAGGGAGGCAGTTAGACGGGCCAAAGCTACCATGGAGCTGAGGATGGCATCTCAAGTAAAGGATAACAAAAAATTGTTTTTTTTAGATAGGGAGTAAAAGTAAGGCCCAGGGCGGAATAGGACCCCTGCTAAATGGGCAGAAGCAATTGGGGGGACGGACAGAGGGGACAAGGCTGAACTCCTCAACGAGTTCTTTGCCTCAGTGTTCCTAAGCGAGGGGCACAACAAGTCTCTCACTGGGGTTGTAGAGAGGCAGCAGCAAGGCGCCAGACTGCCATGTGTAGACCCTGAGATGGTGCAGAGGCACTTGGAGGAACTGGATGCGTTTAAGTCGGCAGGCCCGGATGAGCTCCATCCGAGGGTGCTGAAGG